GATGTAATGACCTTCCACCTTAAACTTCGCATCGGAGACAGCGTTTTATTTAATTCCCGTGAGATGAATAAAAATGAGCCCGTTCCTTACCAGGTTCAGGCGCCCGCTTTTAAGGGTGATGTAAGCGAAGGCTTCATGATGCTGACTGCCGGTGATACCGCATCTTTCCGTGTTTCTGCGGATTCTATGCAGAAGGTGGGTATGATGTTACCGGAGTGGGTTGAAAAAGGCAAGAACGTGAAGATCCAGTTTGACGTGAAGGTTGTCAATGTACAAACCCAGGCAGAAATGCAGGCAGAAGCGCAAACAAAAGCGGCTGCTCAGATTGGTATCGACGACAAGCTGTTGCAAGACTATTTCGCTAAGAACAATATCAAGGCTACCAAGACTGCCAGCGGTCTTTATTACAAGATCGATAAGCCAGGTTCCGGACCCACTGCCGCTGCCGGTCAGTCTGTAACGATGGAGTACACTGGTAAAACAATGGATGGTACTAAGTTTGACTCAAACGTAGATCCTCAGTTCCAGCACGTACAGCCGTTTACGTTTGTACTGGGCCAGGGACAAGTGATCCGTGGTTGGGATGAAGGTATTGCACTGATGAACAAGGGAGCAAAAGGAACATTATACATTCCTTCACCAATGGCTTATGGCGCACAAAGCCCAAGCCCTGCAATTCCTGCAAACAGCGTATTGATCTTTGATGTGGAAGTGAAAGATATTGCTGCAAGTGCACCACAAGGCAAATAATCAACGGATTCAATAACTACTTTAAAAAGCAATCTCATTCGTGAGGTTGCTTTTTTTCATTACAGTGCTTCGGGTATTTAAAACGCCAGAAGGTCTTTACCTTTAACATAATGAGAAAGCCGGTTATTTTACTTTGTATCCTGTACTGCTGTTCGGCATCCTTTGCTGCTGCTTATACCCGGCAGGATTCACTGCGCGGTAGTAGTGGCACAGGACGAAGCTGGTGGGATGTGCTCCGGTACGACCTGTCAATCCGTTTTGATACATCGCGGAAAAGCATCACCGGTACCAATACCATCCGGCTGAAGGTGATTCAGCCGTCTCATGATAGCCTGCAGCTGGATTTGCAGGATGGTATGTTCCTGGACAAAGTATTGTATGAAGGCCGGGCGCTGGATTTTGTAAAAGATGGAAATGTTTTCTGGGTGCGCGATTCGTTTAATAAATGGACGACAGGCAGTGAGCAGGCATTAACCGTTCACTATCATGGCCGTCCCCGTATTGCTCATAACCCGCCCTGGCAGGGTGGTTTTATCTGGACCAGAGA